GGTCTTTCAAATCTGGTATTATGTATCCAGCTGTGTCCAGGATCCTAAGGCGTTATTATTTTGTCACAGTCATCTGTCATTCTCTTTATTGTACTGCTTGAAACGAGAGTAGAGCTTTTCATCCGTTAGTCCCATGATGATGTAAATTTTCTGAAGTTCTAAATACTCTGGAATTTTCATGCTATATAGTGGAATTGCTTTTGATTCCTTACTGTTCTAACTTATTACCTGTAAATTAAGTGGAAAAAAATCAGCTTTGTTTAGTAATGTAATTTTTTTTTTAATAAGATTTCTTTATTCAACTCTTTGTGACACTTCTATCAGGGTTGTAATTGTATTTTTTGTAATCCATTCAAAATTGAAGATATATTCCTATGGAATACACACAAAGACAGCAACATAAATACTGGATTATGAATGTTGTATACATATGTATACATACACACATAGTATTGTTTTGAAGGAAAGCTGTACATTTTACTAACAGCAAATATTTTCCTTTGCATGAAAAAGCATTTAATTAAATATGCTTCAAGCTAAATAGACTGGCAACAGGCATGTAGGTAGAGACGTTGTGGTTGGCATACCACTTCAAATGCGACAGGTTGCTTTTAATGTATTTCCCATTTGAGGATTAGTGTTCATAAGCATAGGCAAATTATTCCGTGCAATATGTTTGTGGCTGTCTGCAACATAATGAAAAGATATTTGAGACAGATTATTTGCAATTGGAACTCATTAAGGAGGTAAATGAATTGTAAGCCTGATGAAATGATACATATAATACAAACTGTAGCCTTAAAATATACCTGTGAAAGGGAGGTTGTTGGAATTTAGAGCCCTGCAATTTGCTTCTTATTCTATGGATTAAATTTTACACTTGATTTTAAATTTAATTTGCATGTTTGAATATTACGTGAGTTGTCTAATTAAATGGAGTAATATAACTGAGTATATTATCTGAAATACACTAAATTTGTAGTAGATGTATATTAAAAGTATAGTGATCTAGCTCTTAGTGGGTCATATTTTTAAGTAATTTCTCTTGCTTCAGATACAGGTTAAAGAACATAAAACTTTTAGAGTTTCAGGACATAGATTAGAAAGTTTTATGTCAGGTGGGTTGCCAGCTAAGTAGACTTTGCTAACTTTCCATACCTATTTTATCTATTTTACCGTGGTCTGGTACTTAAAGACAGGGGTTCTTGTTTCTTACTGTGGCTAATAGCAGATGCTCTAAGAATAAGAGTAAGGCAAACACGTACAATACTACTAATCTCCCAGCCTCCAACTCTTTCCAGTGTGGAAGCCTCTTCAGTCAGCTGGGATTTCTGTGTGTTTGTGCACGCTCAGTGTCTTTCTTTTGCATGACTTATTATCATTGGCAAACTTTAATCTTATGTTTTTCCAGGTCATTTAGGGCTATCTTGAATAGCATAGCTCCCAGTACAGAAACCTATGAAAATTCACCTTTCTCAACTGTGAAGACCAGTTATTTACCCTTATCCTCTGTTTCTTCCTTATCTGTGCCATGTCTTTTTTTTTTTAAATGACGTAGCTGTTAAGTATTCTTAAAGAGCTTTGATGTAGGGCCTTTCAAAACTCTTGGAAATCTAACTAGAAGATAGCTCTTCATCCCTGTGCTTATAAACACTTCAGATATGTATTGGGTTTGTGTGGCAAGATTTTGGTAGTGGGGGAGCTACAGGAGTGGCTTCTGTGAGAAGCTGCTAGAAGCTTCCCCTCTGTCCATTAGAGCCAAAGGTGGACCCATCACTCACAAAGGCCAAGGCCCATCAGTGCCAGTGGTAGTGCCTCTATGCTAACATATCTAAGAAGGGGTGGGGAGGAACTAAACAACCTGTGCAACTGCAGCCACAGAGGCAACTAAGAATACATGAGAGAAACAACTCTGCAGACATCAGCGTTAGTGAAGAAGAATGGGAAGGAGGTGCTGCAGGCACCAGAGCAGAGATTCCCCTGCAGCCTGTGGTGAAGGCCATGGTGAAACAGGCTGCAGCCCGTGGAGGTTAACAGTGAAGCCAATGTCCACCTCCAGCCCTTGGAGGACCCCATACCAGAGCAGGTGGATGCACCTAAAGAAGACTGTGACCCTATGGGAAGCCTGTGCTAGAGCAGCTTCCTTGGCAGGACCTGTGGACCCGTGGAGAAAGGGGACCATGCTGCAGCAGGTTTGCTGGCAGAACTTGTTACCCCCCATTAAGGGACTCATTCTGGAGCAGTTTGTGAAGAACTAGCCTGTGAGAAGGACTCAGAAGCTGAAGTTTGTGAAGAACTGTCTCACACTGGAGGTACCCCACGCTGCAGCAGGAGATGTGTGTGAGGAGGGAGAAGCTGCAGAAACATGCTGAGTGGACTACAACCCCTGTTCCCCATCCCTCTGCACTGCTGGGAATGGGGGGGAGGCAGAGAAATCAAGAGTAGAGTTTGGCTTGTGAAGATGGGAGGGGTGGAAGGGAAGGTATTTTAAGGCTTGGGTTTATTTCTCATTATCCTACTCTGACTTTTGATTGGTAATAAATGGAATTACTTCCCCAAGTCTGTTTTGCCCATGATGGTAATTGGTGAGTGATAGCTCCCTGTTCTTATCTCAACACATGACCCATTATGTTTTCTCCCCCTGTCCATCTGAGGAGGGGGACTGGTAGAGCAGCTTTGGTGGCCAGCTGACATCCAGCCAGGGTCAAATAACCACAAGAGATTTCACTTTACAAAAGCTGTGTTGTCTCTGCAACAAGTCATCCAAGACCTACTAATACAGTTCTTCATAATGATCAGTACTAACTTGTTTGGATGTCAGGCTTGCAGACCTGTAGCTTTCAAGATGTTCCATGAAAATATTTTAGAAGCCTGCTGTTGTGCTTGCCACCTTTCAATGTGTATTAAGGAGAGTTACAAAAGGTTACTAACGTTTTACTGGTCATTTTGATGATTTAGTTTTGCCATTTTTATATAGTTACTTCAGGTATATTTGAGCCTCCCACAAAGAAGAGTTGTGGCATGAAGGTCCTCTCTAATTCCTTTCACTGAACACCAATGTTAATTCAGCTTGTCTGCAGTGATCTTGTCTTCTCTGAGTACTCCTCTATAGCATCATTACCCGTTCACTCTATAGACTCCCTGGCAGGCTTTCTTGCTCCTCACATCTTCCAAGAAATATTGAGTATTAGCTTGATGGTAGTTCCTCAGGCTAGTTTTCAGGGCTTATGTTTAATAGGCCAAACCTTACAATACTTTCTATTTTCTGTATTTGTTCATTTCTTAAGATAGCCTCCTTTTATGTTGTTATTTATAGTTATGCTGGTCTTCTACTGCTATTAGCTAAGTCTGAATAAATAGTATGTGCTGGTCTTGTGCTTATCATATGGTATCTTTAAGTATTTTCCACAATACCTGTAGGGATTTAGTTTTTGTCCTTTTCATCTCTTCATTTGAAAATGTCCTGACTTTTACGTATACTTCCAGATTTATTGTGCACCAAAGGCAAAGTTTTCATAAGTGTCCTTTCCCTTATTGTACCTGTCAGAACTTCTGTGCAAACCAAGCAGTTAGAAATTTGTGAGATTTATATTCTAAAAGCAATATAAGTGCACAAACACCACAGAAATTACATAGGTGCAATATGATAGAAGGTTTTAAAAGCTATCATGTGGTATTTCAGAAATGTGACTGCAAATTTTGCTAGGCAGTCTGGTGGGTTGTTCAGTGGCATTGGCAGACTACCCAGGTTGAGTCCCGGACTCATTAGAAGCATGGTATGGAGTGCTCTGTAGAAGAAAAACTCATTATCACCTGCTCTTTTGGGCTAAATGTGTGATGCCTATTGAAGTGAACAGATTCTTATTTTATTTCAGTATAAATTTGTAGAATTTATTATTTTAGTGTGTAATTTTTAATAAGCTGGTTCTAACTAACCGAGATGTAAATATCTAAGGCTAATGGCATCCTGGCCTGTGTCAGAAAACAGTGCAACCAGCAGGAGTAGGGAGGGGATCGTGCCCCTGTACTCGGTACTAGTGAGACCCCACCTTGAGTACTGTGTCCAGTTTTGGGCACCACAGGATAAGAAGGACATGGAGGTGCTGGAGTGGGTCCAGAGAAGGGCAACGAGGCTGGTGAAAAGGTATGGAAAACATGCCTTATGGGGACTGGCTGAGGAAACTGGGGTTGTTCAGTCTGGGGCAGAGGAGACTGAGAGGGGACCTTATTGCTCTCTACAACTACCTGAAAGGGGGTTGTAGTGAGGCTGGTGTTGGTCTCCTCCCAAATTACTGATGATAGGATGAGGGTAAATGGCATCAAGTTGCACCAGGGAAGATTTTTATTAGATATTAGGAAGAATTTCTTCACTGGGAGAGTGGTTAGACACTGGGACGGGCTGCCCAGGGAGGTGGTGGAGTCATCGTCTCTGGAGATGTTCAGAAAACAAGTAGATGGGGCACTTGAGGTGGTTAGGGAAATGTTAGGAGGAAGGTTGGACTTGAGCATCCTAGAGGTCCTTTCCAACCATAGTGATTCTGTGATTCTATTTGATCTTCCATTTTTGAAAGGTCTTCTAAACAGTAGGAGTGTAAACTGTACTTCATTTTGAGAAATTCTGAGATAAATTTCATTTGGAAAGATCAGTTATTGCTCATACAAGAGCAGCTTAAGATGCTGGAAATCATCCTTTTATATGTATCCAAGAAACTAAGCAGTCTAGTTCCTTGCATATCAGCATAGTTAAATCAATTTATAGTAATTGAATATATATCCTGTAATGTATTAAATAATTTAATTTCTGATAAATGCATTACAAATTAAATACTTCACTTTGGCTTTTCTGAAGTGTTCTTAATGAACTCAGTAAGTACAGGTTGTTACAAGTGATACTCATGCATCTTAGATTTGCTTTCTGAAACAAAATGGAAATCTTTTTCAAGGCAAACTCATTTGGCTGTCTTGTGATATGCTTAATTATTTTTTTTTTCCTATTTCAGGTAAATACGCTGAGGATATATTTGGTGAACTTTTCAATGAAGCACACAGTTTCTCATTTAGAGTGAACTCCTTACAGGAACGGGTAGATCGTTTATCTGTCAGTGTTACACAGCTCGACCCGAAGGAAGAAGAATGTAAGTTCACTCCTGCTTTGAAGACTTCTTACTTTGTCACCCAGAAACAGTTAATACATGAAATGGAAATAATAAGTTTAAATTATATTTATAAGAACAGAGAGAGATCGTGAGAGGTCCGTTGCTGTATCTGCTACTTTTATCGCCTTGAGCAGCTTTCCGAGTTCAATATTTTCATGGTTAGTGAACGGTACTGTTACCAATGAATCTGCATTAAAACTGCTACAGGAGTATGTGTCCCTTCAGTAGTGTTGCATATTAGTGTTAATAATATGTAATACTATGTAAATGCTTGGAGATACGTCTTTACCCTTTTTTTTTAACCTTCCTACTGATTCCCATGCTATGTAACCATTTGTCCAAGTAGGGGTTTTGCATTTGGTTTGTTACCATCTTGCTTTCTATATGAAGTTATAGTTGTATAGCTCCACTTATGGATGATACATATCCCCTTGGATTCTTCCTAAATAGCTTTAAATACTATAAATATTGGTTATATTTGCACTAAGAAAATAAGTACTACCAAAAGTCAAAAGGGCATGGCTCGTGCCTGTAAAATAGAATTTGTATGGGATTTAAATGATGCATAGGTTTTGTGATGACTACAGGAATATTGACCACCTCATATGTAAATGCCATGAAACTTTTTTGCCTTTATGGGTTTCTGTTGGTTAGAGGTGGAACTATGAAAGATCTTGTAACCCTGAACAGTTTGAGGCTGCTCTAGGCTATATGGCTAAGACCTAGAAAGTAGAACAACATCCTATCATGAAAAATAACTTCAGATTGCTTGTGAGATCCAATTTTCAAGTATAGAAAGCTGTTGCAGTTCTGAATGTGTAGGTATAACAGTGGTGTGTCATTCACATGGAACAATGAAGTGTGAAACCAGGAGCATGGTCTTCAGGCTGTTACCTGCTTGGTTACTGATCCTGAAATTTCACTAATAACAAAATTAATCTAAGGAAGTTTTGATTCTGTATTTTGCACGACATTGATTTTAGGGCAGGTTTTGAAAGATGACTGTTCACAGACAGTAGCAGGTTTTCCGCAGAATCATGACTTGCCTAGGGGAATTCTTATATTAATGGGATTTTCCAAGTCTCTTGACAGCTGAGCGTAAATCATACACAAACACCTCTTTTTTCCAATAAAATACCATGTTTATTTACTATGACCAAAAAATCCTTTCCGTCTATAGTAACAAATTGTCAGCAACTGTAGTCTTGCAAGAGCGGTAATACTCAAGAGTCTTAATGTCATTTCTGTGTTTACCCTTCACAGTCTAGTTTTTGGGTTAAATCAGGGTGGAATATGTCTTGATATGGCATATCTAATATGGCAAGCATTCACGTTTCAGGAAAATGGAGAGACCATTTCAAGTCATAGAGTTAAAGATGCTTTAACTAGGGATCTTACAGGATAGCAAGATGGAAAATTGTACCTTCCTGTGTAAATGTCTTTTAGCAAATTTGGCTGTAGGTTTCTTACTAAATATCCATGACTGTTTTATGTTAGAGAATTGCTAGACATATTTTAAAATAGTGTGTAGTCCCAAATGCACCAGATCAATAACTTTTCACAGTACTGTTGCATCTGTAGCATTTGCTAAACTGTATAGCTAAAGAAAGGGACAGGCAGTGCAAATAAAGAAAACAGGGCTGAAAAGAGTTCTGCTTGATCCGGAGGAGAGTGGTTAAGAGTGACTTGCATACCCTTGTCTCTCACACCACAGAGCAGCAGTGACTGCTAGTACTTCAGAGGATCACATGTAGTCCTCAAGGTCAGGAATGAGTAAATGACTGTTTTTATTAACCTCAGAATATCCAGTCGCCGAGCCACCCCCAATGCTCCTTATTCAGAAACATCTGCCCAGAATGAGCCACCAGCTGAGGATGAAGGACATAAGAGGAAATTTGGTATTGTATTTCCTTAAAAATTTGGATCAGGAAACTTTCAGTATCCTGTTTTGGGCCTGAAATTTAGAAATTAATCACAAATTGGTTTGGTTTAGGCCTGATCTGGGCTAAAAATAGCTGGAGGATGTTAAAGCATGAAGGTGTGGGGGAAACACTCTATGCAAGTATTAAGCAAATTTTGGTACTTCTGCTCAGCTAACAGCATGTGTAGAACAGGCTATACTTGTAAACTTGGTCTCATTTGCTAGTTCTTTGCCAGGAGGCAGTAATAGAATATTTAATGTGTTCCTTTGGGCCCGTACTATTACACAAGAGAAAGAAATTAAGATTCATTTAAAGCTAAGAGGCATGAACAAACCCGTACAAAGTCAGATTCGTTGAACAAAGTGCAGATACTTGACACAATGTTTCTGGTAGAGTCGAAATAATAAAAAGCTCTAAATTTTTGGAATAGGTTGTGTGTTTTCTCATTTTGAATTCTTACAATATCTTTGTGAAAGAATAAAAGCAAATTAAACCAAGGTTAGGATTGTATGCTGAAGGAACTGACTCCTGCTGCATAGTCTTTCTGTCACAGAATTACTGGGAACTTGGTTTGAATTATTACACTTTTCAAATTCTTGGTTTCTCAGAATTATTACTTTCATACTGTAATTGATTTTTTTACACACTTTATTCTTTTTACATGCATGTGTTTTTTTTCCCCTCAGAAGAGATACTAAGCTTGCATACAGACAAAAAGAAATCCTCTGCTTTCCTTAAGTAAACTGAACTTTATTTCAATTGTATGGGAAACTAGGTTAGCTGTATTAAAGGGTTACCATATCTGGGGTCATTTTAGAAACTGTAAAATACATTCTTGCTATGGAGATGAACTAAGCTTCATGGTTTCAGTAGCCCTGTAATATATAATATCCTCATAGGTCAGAAAATAAACCCAAGAGTACAGTGTCTTTGCAAACATTTTTAATTTTTGTATTTACTTTATAAATAACATTGGTAACTCTCTCCATATATATATGCAGATTTTATAAGTATAATATCTTTTTGTTAATTTACCACATTTTTGTGAATTTATTTGTGGCATTGAGCTTGAAGTACTGGTAAAAGTAAACAATTTCCTATATGTAGAATTCTGACAGTTTTTAAAAGAAAATTCATTTTTGCTTTTATGTTCTTTATGGAAATGCTGATACACAGTATGGCTCTGATGTACAGTGTAATGAAATACTGGAAAATAATTGTGTATCACTCAGAAATAAGTGGTATGGCTGAAGGAGAATTCATAAACTAAGATATTATCTGCATATTTTAGTATTAATTTAGTAGTTCTCTAATATGAACTGCCTAATTCTGTTTAATTCTCAAACTGATAAGGATTTTATTCTCAAAGGCAAATTCTTGATTTCTATAGCATATATGCTACAACTGTGACAAGCAACTTAATGGCAGAAGTGCAGCCTGGCATACTTCAGGAAAGGAATCAAACAATGTTGTGAATTGCGTCTCAGTAGGTTTCTGGCTTTGAATAAATGTGCTTGTTTTTTTCTAAATATTCTAGAAATACTTCCTTGTCATGAAAAAGATAGTAGTTCATAAGTTTTGCTCGGTGAATGCTGAAGAGAGATTTGATGTTTTGCTATAGGCAAAAACTGTAGCAACTGATGGGGAGACACCTAAAAAGATTGACAGCTAATTATGTCTGTATGCCTCTGACTTGGTCAGCTTTCAATTCAGGATGCTCAGCCTATTTTGAGATTTAGAAGGCAAAGACAGTAAATCCCATTTTAAGAGACTGCTCACCATCTCTAGGCTCTCAAGAGGAATTTGGTGACTTGAGTATAAGTGTAATCAAAGTTAAGAACAGGAAGCACATGAAAATTGGGTCATGACCTCCATATCTAAGATGTTCGTGTGGAGAACAACACTATTGTCAATTAATTCATAAGAATTTTTACCCCCAAAGTCAAATAAAGAAAAAGACTCAAGTTAAGAATGGGTCACTTTTCCTGGCATATCTCCACGTAATGAAAGCTGGATTTGCATGCGTCTCCCTCTCAGAGATCTGTGCAAATGGGTTAAGCTCTGACTGCTCTCCATGCTTTTTCACCAGATTTCTTAGCACCCAATGCAATTTATGGGTTATTTAAAAGTAAATTAGTTTTAAATTAGTGTGTCAAAGGCTTAATCATTCAGCAGTAGAGCCATGATATTGCATAATGTGTGTTTTGTTTATAAAAGAAGGATCTGGACAAAATATCATTTGATAAATACTCTGGTGGTTTTGTTGAGGCTCATGGGCAGACTCACAGCTTGATGCAGGCAGGTGAGTTACAACTTCCCTAACGGGCTGCTGGGGGCTCCCTGGTCCCACACACTCCCATTTAACGCAGCTCCTGAGTCTTCTTACAATGATTGCTCTAACATTTGCATCTTCTCTTTTTTTACCTGCAGTAGTTAATCTACATACATTCTCTATCCAAAGAGTGCTTGAGCTCTTTCTGGATTTTTTTAAATCAGTATTTCAGAAAATTTGAATTCCTTGTGTTGGGGACAAGCCCAAAAGAGAGCAGTTTTTGTTCTGCACAAGTAGTCTTTCTGCTTAGCAACTATTAAACCTGCAAGTGACCAGTCAGGTGTATTCTGATGGCAGATAAAGCTGTGTGCTATTGTAGGTGGTGTTGAAAGTGATAATCATTTAAAACAACAAAAAAAAAGTGGAAATCAGACATCAAGATTGCAGCATCTGTAGGAATTGTATTGCACAAATCTTTATCTGAAAAGAATTTTCACCACCATCACCAATTAATTAGAATCTTATGGCTAAGTTATTAATTTGATATTGTCATTCTTTTTTCCTTGTACTTTTCAAATTACTGGGTAACATTTTGAACAGAGGAAGGGAATTGTGGGCAACTGAGTCCATTGATTTGTATATATTTCCCATTGTCATTCAATTCTGCAAGGAATCATAGCTGTGGCATTCAAGAGTTTGTGGTCTGAAAAGTTGTCAGGATGAAATTCTGCAAAAAGTGTTGAGAAAGCAAGCTTTTAAAAGGGATATATATATGAAATATATATTATGCAATATATATTATTTAAAGCCTTGTCATAAATTGCACACTGGATTGAGTTTAAAAGAATTTTAAAAATCTAGTAACAGTTTGACGTAAAGTAAAATAATGTTTAATATCTTTGAAATGTAAAAGTACATTCTTTCTGTCAGTATACTGGTGTCCTCCATACATGACTTTTACTACAAATTGGGAATTGTGGCTTAACAGGAGGTGAAACGTTACTGTGTGTATATATTACTGATGTGTTCTTTTGTTTAACTTGTAGTCCAACCCAAAAGAAACCCAGTTATTTTATCTTATTAGAGTGCAATTTAAATACTTTTATTTCACCCAGTTCATTGGTGATTACAAATAAAAATGGCTTGACATCTCTTTTTCGAAGCCAGATGTGCAAAAGGTTTGTAGCTTATAGATAATTTTTAATTATGTGGAAAATTTTGTGTGCAGAAAGTAAGATCAGCAGATGTAATAGATATTTTCATACAATCCAAACAGACACAGTGAAGATAAACTGGCATTTGTTTAAATTGTTGAATAAATGTTTAACTTGTGAACGTCTCAGCGTTTAAGGAAATTGTTCATTGCAGTACACACAAGTGATGTAGCAGATGGACATTCAGAACAAGGTATCCTATGAGATTTAGGATCTTGGGCTATATGAAGGTTCTGGTGCTAGTTAGGAATTAGGAAACTAGAAGCTTAAATATATCAGCATCAAGTCAAATGCCTGCAGCATTTCCAGTTCCTCCTTCAGTGTCTCGTCTCTTTTCACACCTGAATTCATACATCCAATTGGTTTGACCTGTTCTCTTGCTGTGCCGGTTTGTCAATCAGCCAAAGCCAAATGGCCGGATGACCATCCAGATTTTTGTGTATTCTCCCCCATGAGGTGGCAGGCCACGCAGGGCTTCTGTTTCTTAGCCAGCTGGCAAGCTAAAGAAACAGCTTTGTAAGCCAAACAGTACGTAGCCCAGGATTGCTTTGTGCTTGCAACATGGGATTTACCTGATCCCTGTCTGTAGGCAAGTTCTGTCGGTGTCGTGATTCTCAGTGTTCTGTGTGCCATGTCCTTTCATCTCCTCAGTGACATTGTCCTAAGGTAGTTGGTCATTTTGGATAATGGCAGGTTTTGCAGTCAGTGCTGGTCACTGCATAGCAGCACGGGAGATGCTGTTAGCTCCTTGAAATTCTACTGTGTGTTTTCTATGAAAACCTTTGCTATGTAGCTGTTTTATGAGAAAGTAATTATACTTGGCGTTGGGGATGGATGGATTATCCTCAGGTGTGTTATCCCTTTGTAGATGTTTACAAGAAGTAGAGATTTAAATAAGATGGAGATTATGAATCAGACCGGCTCTGTTTGCTCACTGAAGAGATTAAGGAATGCCAATAACGAGTTTATAGAATAGTGCATGTCTCAATAATATGGTGTCACACACTCTGTGAGCATTTCAATATTAAAACAAAGAACTGTTTTTTTTTATTTATGGGAATAAATTAGTATACTTTATTGCCTTCAGAATGTACACAGGTTCAAAGAGAAGCATACTAACTTTTATTTTTGTCTGGCATAGTGACAGACATTTTAAAGACTTGCAGGATTGCCAGGCAACTCTGAACATTTGGTGAGATTTGTAAAACTAACAACCCAAATGAAAAACAGCTGAAGTATAAAACAATCCAAGACTAGGTTTTTAGATGAGGTAAACCCCAGTTCTTCTAATTGTGAACTTTTGCCAGCAAATAACCTGTACTTCATGACAGGTACAAAATATATGTAGTTATTTATGAGTGCAAAAGTACGTGCAGAAATTGAGCCTCCTAGCTGACATTTGGTTATTACACTATTTCTTTCACACACTTAAAAAGGCTTCTGAGGAGCTAATTAAAAGTATTAAAAAGAATGAAAGGTACTGTAGTGAAATAGAACCTAACTTTTCTAGGAACACACATAGTTGCCAGCTGTAATAATCTTCAAAAGCCAAACTGAAAATCAAAATAAATCCCATCTTTAGCTTCACAAAGGATGCTCCCAGTACACTTAAGTAAGCAGATAGAACATTCCAGGAATTGCAAGCCCTCTGGAAAAAATCCTGCCTTCTGCCCCTTTGTGATCATACAACTGAAGTTCAGTTTGTGTGTGTATGCTTGGATGTGTTACAGGAATCAGAGTAAAATGCAGCCCTCATCTTAAACAGATGAACTCTTAAAAAATTGTTGCCGAAGGCCATAGTGATGTGGGAGGGGGTTGTCCTCTCATTTTGAGTAAAGAGGCACTACTATCAACCTGTTTGTATAAAATAAACATAATTATTTAGAGATAAAATGCATGTGCTGAAAATACTCTTTGCTAGTGTGTCTTAAAACTGTTTTCAGCATTGTTTGTGATTAAAACCAACCAAACAAAAAAATCTCAACCAACCAAAGAACACCTGTAAAAAACCATCAAACCAATGAAAAAGGCTGCTGCTTTAGCTAGTGGAAGTGGAGGTCTGGCTGCAAAGTGAGTCGTGAGACACACTTGGACTTCACAGATGTAGTAACTGATCAGGGTGAGAGAGAAATATAAGACTGAACGGATGCACTGTGTCCAGAATTAAAAGTGCAAGCTTCATCCGTTGTGGTCACTTTTCCATTGATCTTTTTCTAAATTTTAATGATTGTGAAATAGAAAAAGATATATGGGCTTTAACAGCGGTAAGTCAGTATATTTCAAACCACTGTTTAATCTATTGTGTTGTTTTCCTTTGAATCTTGCATAAAGATAATGGATTATTCTTAACTACTGTGCTTAAAGACTCAAGGTGTCTCACCTGCATTAAACAGAGAAGTCTCATCTTAATTAAGCAATCTGATTAAAAAAACAACATTTGACTAGTTTCATGTGTTGAAAGATAGTATCACCTTCCATTAAAACTTGCAGATAATCAGTAGCAATAAGCTTAAGTGATTTGATGGTTTGGCATCTCAGTGGGCCTTAAGTAGAACTGCTGCCTTCATGCAAGGAGTGCAAAGTTTGACTTGCTGATAGCATGAAGGTAAAATCTATACCTCAAGATAAAGGGCTTTTTGGTTTTTAGTACCAAAAGGACTATGAAAAGGAATTGGTAAATATTATTAGGTACTTCTGAACTACAGAATGATACTTTGTAGATACAGTAAACAACTTGTTGAACTACTTTGGAGAGACAGAGTTCTGATATCTATCCAGGTGAGCAAAAATTTCCTGTGAAGCTAAATAGAGGATAATGTACTAGAACATCACAAGCGTGTTTTTCTTATAATCTGGCAATATCTTGCCATGGCAGTAGTGCTAGACTAATTTATATTTGAAGTAAAATTCATAAGATCCTAGTAGTAATGCTTAATATTTATATTGTATTCGGCATTAAACAGTTCCAGGTTAACCTAAATAAGCTATCTTTGGTGGTATTTTTTTAAATGGCACTGTCTCTTTTCAGTGTCACTGCAGGACATTACAATGAGGAAAGCTTTCCGGAGTTCCACAATTCAAGATCAGCAGCTGTTTGACCGCAAGACTCTGCCGATTCCTTTGCAAGAAACTTACGACATCTGTGAACAGCCTCCTCCACTTAACATTCTCACCCCTTACAGGTTAGTAAAATAAAATTTACCAAACCTGATTTCTAGCTTATTTTATGTAACAGAGGCACTATATCCAGGCACCTTGCTCATGTTGAGCAGCGCCTGAATATTTCAGGAGCCACAGTAGAAAACTGTGCAGCTGCTGGGGGCATACAGGCAGCAGAAGACGTGTTAAAACTTCACTCAAATTTTCCCCCACTGTAACAATGGTTAGAAAAATCCATTTTCATTATCTGCATTTATGAAACTATGTAATGCTCCTGGATGCAAAGTGAAGAAAATAAGCAGTTACATACGTAGAATGAGAGGTCTTTAATGGAAATTAATGTTTGCTCACCCAAAGTCAGTTTGAATCGGTTTCAATCATGAGCAGCAACACAAATTTGCGCATTATTTTAAGAGCAAGATTTGAGTCACTGGAATGGGAGTTCTTTGATTTATGGTATGATATAATGTGATATGATACTTGTTTTATTTACAGCTTGCATTAAAAGTTACTTTTCTAAAATCAGGACACTGAATACAAGGAAAGATAGTAAAGAATGATGACACAGGATTGTTTGTCTTTCTAATGTTCTTCTGTAACATATTTCAGGGTCTGACATACTAGATATTTCTTAATATGCCTTTCCCTTGCCTTAATGTTTGGATTTGTGTGTTGTCAAATAAATAGTATGCCCTGTTTGCCTCATTGTATTTCAGGGATGATGGAAAAGAGGGTTTGAAGTTTTATACCAATCCTTCATACTTCTTTGATCTTTGGAAGGAAAAAATGTTGCAGGACACAGAAGACAAAAGAAAAGAAAAGAGGAAGCAGAAGGTATATATGTTAACTTTCTATACATTCTGGGTATTTTTTCCTGGAAAATGTTTACTTGCATATATGGTACTTAATTGGTTATGCAGTTAATAACAAAACTTCACAGAGTCATCTTTGTTCAACTAAAACTCCTTCTATTCATTCAATTCCATCAACTTTTAACAAATAAACATTTAATAATAATGATAAAATAATGTAGAAGCACCTAGAGCTTTCATACTGTCTTAATGCAACTAACGGCAAGTTTGCCAAAACTTGGAAGTCTTTTAGCAGTGACTCCAAAAAGAGAAAAGGCGAGGAATACAGAAAGAAGAATTTCACTGGAACACTTTTTTAAAAATACAAAGTTCTGACAGTCTTACAGGTGAAAAAGCTAAATGCTTTTTCAAAGTTAATGCTGTTTTTCGTTTCACCATTATTCTGTCTATTTCATACATACAGACAGTAAATATAAGTGTCAGATTGATAATTTAATTCCAGACTTAGAATAAAAAGCTACAGTTATTTTTCCTCTGTATTATTCAACTAATTATCCACTAGAATGAAGTTTCTGCCTCTTAAAAGTCTTTTTGGCTTACATATCCTATTTAGACCAAAAGTAATTTTTTTTTTTTTTTTCCAACTTGAATTTGGATTGCTGTTCATTATTTTGTGGCTGATGTTTAAATGCAACTAATTAAAAAAACTCTGTCTTAGTTGTCAGTTTTGTTTGCACAACTCTCCCACAGCAGAAAAACCTGGATCGTCCTCATGAACCAGAAAAAGTGCCAAGGGCACCTCATGACAGGCGAAGAGAGTGGCAGAAGTTAGCCCAAGGTCCAGAGCTTGCAGAAGATGATGCTAACCTCTTACATAAGCATATTGAAGTTGCTAATGGCCCAGCTTCACATTTTGAATCAAGGTTTTGTTTTATTTTTCTATCCTTTATAAAGATATGCGTACTACATAGTGAACATGCTTGAGAAATGGTAGATAATGGTAGATAATGAGATGTTACTGCTATTTCTTGAAATGCACTGGAAGTAATTGATTTAGCTCAATTAAAACTCTTGTTTTGAGGACACGCTTAGTTGGTGTGTCCTTAAAGGGGTAGAATCATAGAATTGTTTTGGTTGGAAGAGACCTTTAAGATTATCAACTCCAACCATTAACCCAGTACTGCTAGATCACCACTAAACCATGTCCTTAAGCATCATCTCTACATATCTGTTAAATATTTCCAGGGATGGTGACTCCACCACTTCCCTGGGCAGCCTGTTCTGGTGCCTTACAACCCTTTCTGTGAAGAAATTTTTCCTAATACGCAACCTGAATCTCCCCTGGAACAACTTGAGGCCATTTCCTCTTGTCCTGTCGCTTGTTAACGGGGAAAACAATCAAACCCCACCTTGCTACAGCCTCCCTTCAGGTAGTTGTAGAGAGTGCCAAGGTCTCCCCTGAGTCTCCTTTTCTCCAGGCTAAACAAGTAGTTATTATCTTGTTATTTTTGAGAGTAGCATGTATCCTTGCAGTTCATTGATGCTGAAGGACATGTTGTTGTCTGCAGCTTGAAGAGGGTGTAGTGTCACTGTTGCAAGCTTGCACCCAGGTGTGTCACTACATTCCAGTCCTGACCTACAAAATCCCTATTATTCCAGTCTCTTGGTTTTTCTTAAGCAGACGCTGCCAAGACTATATGATGGGTGTGATGTGAACAAATGTCCACTTGGAACTCAAATGAGAACGCTGAGCTTCTTTTTACTCTTGAGCAAATCCAAGATTTGATTGACATTTATGGTTATAGTCTATTACAAAATCCAACCTGTTGGATTCTGATTTCACAACATGTATTTGCTGGTGGCTCAAAGTAGCATTTCAAATGGTAAATAGCTGCTGTGTCTGCAACACTTCTGGTGTTGGTGCAAAACCAAGTCTATTTTGCCAGCCAAGAATCATCTGATAGGAAAGAGGGCTGGCAAATAAAATTAGGAGTTTGGGGGGGTATGTTTTTTGGGAGTTGTGTTTTTTTTATTGAAAAGTACTTATTGTCCTCCAAAGTTGTTACATTTTCCCCCCATTCTTTGCTGTCCAAAAGTGCACCTTAAGAAAGTATTTTGTGTGTCTTTGTAGGGCCTTCAGATAAACTTAATAGTGACAGTGGATAATGATGACAACTGTAGGAGATAGTGGTTGCTGTCTGAAAAATGGAGAAACCTGCTTGTAGAAAACGTAGCTCACTTCAGAAAATAGAAATGGTCTCAGCGCATTTCACTCAGTAGGGTACAACTCAGGTTACGGTGATCAGCATATTTCTGGGAACAACTTTATAGTATCTTACCTTCGTAAAATTCTGTGTCAAGTTGTTGGCAGAAACATCTGCTTCCCTGCTGTCCTTCTGCTGTGGTGCACATCAGATTCCACATTAGACACACTTGTTGCAGGAATCCTTTTCTATCCAGGACTCTGGCCTAAACCTTGATTGTCTCAGTACCAGTAATGTGATTATGAATAATGCTGTTGTGCGTGAGAGCACTGCATGTGCAAAGCATGCTGTTCAGATACAGGACAGCACTGTGCTTTCGAATAACAGAATTAGAACTTCACCTCTGAAGAACTTAATAGACTTAGATACTATGGTGGTAGCAGTATGCAGCAATGTAGAGTATTGCTTTGTTTTTTGGAAAGTGTCCTGCAAATGCATTTCCTCTGAATTCCATAGAGAAATGTTAAAAAAAATAGTTCAGTAGTTAATTAAAATCTTCTAACTGATCAGGTCCTTGAGGTGCATCTGAAGTTGTCATTAACAAGTAAATTGAGTCATCTTTATTTACTGCTACTACTCAATAATAGATAGATAATCTTCCTTACATCCATTGTATAGCTACGGAGTATTAGTTCTAAAGTTGTGAGTTCTCTGTATACTGGAATATAGATCCTCTGACAGAAGTTCAGCTAAATTATCCAGTTGTAAATGTTACCATTCTAATGTTGATGGACGTTTTATAAATGTTATAAAAGAATATGGTTGCATATATGTAGGGATTGAAGAGCAGAAACAATTACTGGGTAGAATGTCTGTTTCATAACAGGCTCTGGTATATGTGTATTTGTGACTTTTTTTTATGCTGTTGTCCCGTCTAGAAAGCAGAATTGTGTCCCACCTCCCTTATCCCTTCGTTCTCCCAGGTAGAGAGGTAAACAAAGGAAGGCAGGGGTAATGAAAGCTTTGCACCAATTGAAAAGTTAACAAAATGAAATATATTATTTAACAGGGAACAGAAAGGAAGAAGGGTAGGGGTTTGACAGGGTACAGAAAGGAAGAAGGGTAGGGGTTTAACAGGGTAAAGGGATTTTAATAACAACAAAGCAAGGAAGGTTAAACTTCCAAAAATACAAAACCCAAATGCTGTGCTGAGGCTCCCCAGTGCTGGATGTCGCTGGATTGAGGTGGATGCAGCTGGATGCACAATCCTTGGATGTGGATGGAGGCAGGGAACGAGTCTGTAGATCAGGCCCAGCTCCCAAGATGGCCACGGCCATGTGCAGCACAGCGAAACCACAAACAGCAACAGCAGCGTGTGTCCGGCCAGGACCACAGGAGAGAGGAGAAGAGGAAGAGAAGAGGGAAGAGGCGTGTCTTCTCGCCCCCTTTATAGACCCCAGCAGGAAGTCCCGAAGACAGGAAGAGGGGTGTGGGAATAGAATAGGTCTCTGCCCCTTTCATTCAGGCTTGCTCTTGGTTTTAGATTTCAGATCTCCACCCACCAGGAGCAGCAGGTTTCAAACCATTACAGCTGTGTATCGCTATGTTTACTTTACTCAAAATAATGTGACTAATAAGCACTAATATCACACACATCCTATAGAAATTATCTGATATACCTGTCAAAACTGTTAAAACCTTGTGCTGTTAGAAGCAATGGCATGGGAAGTGGGTAAATGGTTAAAGGGCCATGAAGTACAATACGCAACATTGGTGCAGAGAAGATACTTGAATGTGAAATCAAACAGAAGTATAGGACAGTGGCTGAGTACACTAACATTTACTTTTACTGAAGGTTCCAGTGGATCATTTTTCACTATTTTCCTACAGATCTCAAGCATATGTGGACCATATGGATGGATCGTATTCGCTTTCTGCGTTGCCCTATAGCCAGATGTCTGAACTGCTGAACAGAGCCGAGGAGCGGGTGTTGGTCAGGCCACATGAGCCACCACCGCCACCTCCAATGCACGTAGCGGGAGATGTGAAGCCCGTGCCTCCTTGCGTTAGGTACGAAGTGGTCGAGCCACGTGCAGATTTATTGGGAAGATTTTGTTTTCCACTACTCCACTAATAGGCATTAGTGTTACTTCCATGCAGCCCAGGCAGTACACACATTCTAGGAGCTGTGTCAGTCCACAACCACGATGTGTCTGCAGCGGCGGGGCCATGCAGGAACTAGAGAGAAAGGCCAATAGGGTGCCATATGGACTCAGGCTTCACCTTGCCATTAATATTGTGACTGTGTTGCCTTCTGAGTTAAATCACAAGGCAAATACAGAAAATGTTTCTGTGAAAGATGCTGGAATCTCTGGAATTAGCTTTGGAATTTTGGAAATTTGGAAATCTGAAATTTGCACAACTGAGCTGTGTTTCAGCCTAGATGAAAGGAGCAATGTATGGCAAGAAGACAGCTGTCAAAACTGTATATTCATCACAGTTGCTATACTGCAAGTGCTTTTTAATTTTTCTTCCCCCAAATGTTTTTATTTTCTATTTCTTTGTGCCTTTCCATAACTGGATACATACTTAGAGTATTTTCTAGAGTGAGGCTCTGGTTGTCACTCCTCTTGTTTAATACCCCAAATATTACTTCATGGTCAGGTATATACAACTTGGAATAGAGGACAGTTAATTTGGACAGGGTTGCTACGTCAGCTGCATGTTAAGTCTCTTGAAGAGAATGTCTTTTTACTTTTTGGGAGACTGTACGCTGAAATATGTGATTCTTTAGATTTATTTTCCACAACAGCTGAAAAAAAAAATCCTCTAGTAGTCTTTCAGGAAGATAATTTTACTGTTCCCTTTTGTTTTCATCAATTCATTACTGCATTCACCTATTTGCCGCACTATAATGATTATCTAGTATATAAATAAACCTCTTTGTATGTAGAACTGATGACCTTTGATATAGTTTCACTCATCTTGTCATCAAACCTGAAATATGTATTTCAAACGCAACTCATCCTCATTGCTTGTACTGTTTTGTTTTGTCTGATTTTGTTTTTAAAGTTCTGTGAAGCAAAGCAGTTAAGCCATCTCTAGATACCTTACTTCAAGAAAATAATTTGGATTTATTTGGGGACGGGAGGAGGGGAGAATTATGCTAGTGTAGGAAACCTTTGATAAAGATGCAGGTTTGTATAAGAGCGTAAACCTGGTTAATATCTGCATCTGAGCAAAGAGCTGTTGGAAGACTGATGCATACTCCATATTAGATTTCCTTATATATGAGGTATGAATACCTTGAGATCATGTTAGTACATAATGCTCTTTAATGCCCAGCTTTCAGTATCCTTAAGTTGCAGAAATGAGTCTATTACTATTTTTTCCACTCTCCAGCTCTAATAACTTTGTCCTGTTATTGGATGTTTCAGTTCTACTACTGGCTTGGTAGAAAATCGTCCTCAGTCACCAGCAACAGGCAGAACACCAGTGTTTGTGAGCCCCACTCCTCCTCCTCCACCACCACCACCTCTTCCGTCCGCTTTGTCGACCTCCTCATTAAGAGCTGCAATGACTTCTACTCCTCCACCCCCAGTCCCACCTCCCCCACCCCCTCCAACAGCTGCTCTGCAGGCCCCGGCTGTGCCGCCGCCACCAGCTCCTCTCCAGATAGCTCCTGGAGTCCTACATCCAGCTCCACCTCCAATTGCCCCTCCTTTAGCACAACCCTCGCCTCCTGTCACTAGGGCTGCCCAAGTGTGCGAAGCCGTACCAGTTCACCCAGTTCCTCCACAAGCTGAAGTACAGGGACTTCCTCCACCACCCCCACCTCCTCCCCTGCCTCCTCCTGGCATTCGACCCTCCTCTCCCGTCACGGTTGCAGCCCTTTCTCACCCTCCTGTTCTGCACCCTCCTCCCACAACCATTGTCCCTGGTCCTCATGCCCCGCTAATGCCTCCGTCTCCACCATCCCAAGTGATTCCTGCCCCTGAGCCCAAACGCCATCCTTCAACTCTTCCTGTAATCAGCGATGCCAGAAGCGTTCTGCTGGAAGCAATACGGAAAGGTAATGCTTGGCCCTTGGTGGGCAACAAGAACAGTCTCAGAAACTTCCTAAATACACATGAGCTTTCAGGGATGGAATGTCTCACGTCCAAGAAGTTACTTTAGAGGAATGCATCCTAAGTCCCTTTCTGCTTTCTACTCTCTACAGCACATGCACTGCCAAGCAGACAGATTATTTTTCTTTTTTCAGTTTGTAATTACACTTATCAGATGTTTAGTTTGGATGGCAAAACTAGTTCTCTGTGGAAGTTAGCTTTTTAAATTGTGATTATTAAAAAGCAACATTTGTTTATAGATAATCTGTGGAGATTATCTCTTTGTTTCTGTTTACCTGAAAATGCAGCTATTTCTGATAACCTACAGGTTGCATAGAAGACAAAAACATTGTTTTTCACAGACCATTAGATAAAAGCAGGACAGATCATTTGTCACTGGAATTTTGGTCATATATCAATGTATTACAACAACACATAAATGCCATTCAGAAATCATTGCTTAAGACTTAAAGCTATCTAGTCTTGATGTGTCTCAACGCAGCAGTGGAGCAGTCTTTGCACTGCAAGGTGCCCCGCTGGCAGAGGTGCAGGGAAATGCTTTCTTGATGACCTGGTCAGGAGCTGTAGGTACAAGCTGTACCTTTCAGCTTACGTGCCTAGAGCCAGAAAAATCCCCACTGCACTGTGAGTGCTGCTCTTTGGCTGTGTGGTGTCTTCAAAGAGTTAATATTTCTCAAATGTTTCAAGTACTGTATGCTTCTGGTTTTTCCCTGCACCTACAACACAGTACAGAATCTGTCTGGTACTGTAATAGCAACTGATAATCTATAATACTAATTCAAAATATTTTTAAAGTGTCTATATGCCCATGAATTGGTAACATCATTTAATCTAAAGAATTATCTACAACAGTGGTGCGTGTACATTAGTAGAGAATATCTGAAAAAAAAACCCAAACTAATAAAGGAGAGCCTGTTGGTATAATTGAGATGATTCCTGAAAATTAATCTTGCACAAGCAGAAAAGGCTCAAGTTACCACACCTTAAATTCCACCTGAAGTCCTGTGCTTTTGCTGCCTGTCAGTTGACAACATGCGAGTGTACATGACGTAGGTCATATTGAGACTGTTAGTCTGTAGTGTCATGAGTATAAAACCAAAATAAATATCCTCTGTCATGTTTTTAACTGAGTTGCTGGATTTAATTTTCTCATACTGTTGTTATGTGTTATTTCTCCTTTGCGTTTGATCTTCAAGTAATACTTTATCCCCAAACGGATCATTCCATGATCAAAACTGGGTTATAAGAAGTCCTGTCTTGTTAGGATAGTCAAATAGCTATAACTTTTAATTGAAATCATGAAGAGTAGTGTAGAAAGTATCTGGAAATGCAAAAAATGTCTTAATCACTTAGTTGTACTAAAAACGTGTGTGTGTTTTTATTGGGAAAGCAGAAGCAGGGTAATGTAGTAGAAGGGCTGATGAGGTAGTCTGCCCTTTCTGTTCCGACATGCCTCCCGTTAAAAACTTGACAGAGAGCCTCTGTCTGAGGAAGGGAATGTCCTCAGCCTGCAGTTTTGTTCGCAAAGTGTTTTGTGGATCGTGAGCTGAATGCTTTGCATGCTGATAAAGGAGGAGAGTGACATGTCTGTGCTGTGATGTTCTCCAGGTATACAGCTGCGCAAAGTTGAGGAGCAGCGTGAGCAAGAGGCCAAGCACGAGCGCATCGAGAACGACGTTGCCACCATCCTGTCTCGCCGCATCGCCGTGGAGTACAGCGACTCGGAAGACGATTCCGAATTCGATGAAGTGGATTGGTTAGAGTGAAATGCCTACGTTGCTGTACACTGCAAAATCGAATGCTAATGTCTGTTGTGGTGCTTGTTCTTTGGAAGTTCGATGGTCATTTCTAGTGGGTTTTGTATTCTTTTCTTTACATAATTAATCCCATGTTTTTCTACTTTTCAGTTTACAAAAAGCTCCTAGTGCATCTTCGAAACTAAATGTTTTACAGCGGCTTTTCTTACACGTCTTTTTTGAAAGAACATACTTTGTTCTGATAGACCACTAAGTATTAAGCATGGGCAGCTGTTGGTAGAGTAGCAGTTTCAAATTTTTGGCATATCCTAACTGTGCACTTTGTGAATTTTAAGTTAATGAAGGCAACTGAGATTGACATTCCAAGGGCAGCTGTATGTACTAATGAGCCTTATTCCATTTTTGATAGTGTTTTAAAACATTAAACCTAGCTATCCAAGGTATCACTGCCTCAATTACATCTGTACACTGAAAGTACGTATAGTTAGCAGCACTGAACACACTGTAAGGAAAATGGATCTTTGGGGGGGCTATTATTGTTTTATTGTTGTTTTTAAATAATTATGGCCTTATTTGAATGTTTAGAGATTCCCCTTCCCTTCTTCCCTCCCAGGTACATATTGTGTGGTACTATTTTTGCCTGCATAATGAAAGTTTAAAGTTTTTTTTTCCTTGTGAAATCTTTTGACTTAAACATGCTGTGTAACTTATGTAACTGTTAAAATAACAGTTTGATTTAATAAATGGTTCATTTTAAATGTTCCTGGTTGTTGCTTTTTCATGAAGCCTGCTTTTCACAGTTATATCTGAGGGATCCTTGAATTTCAAAGATTTAATCTGTGGTATACAAAATTACAATAAATATTCTGCACTTGATATAAGGAGCCATATTAAACAAGAAAACATGTCTCATCAAATGGTACTTGCATGCATATCTAAAAAAAAAAAAAGCTGAGATCTTACTGTGATCCATTAGTTAAAAAAAAATAAAAATAAAAAACTGGGAGCTTGTGGCTTATGTGCTTTAGGGTTGTTTTTTCTTACAATGATGGCAGGTTCTTTTTTTTTTATCTTGAGGAGACATGCAGCAGTCAGAATTGTGGTTAATGAAAGATAACAAGAGAACATGAGTGATACTGCAGAGGTATTTTTTAAGTGCCATCTAGCAGCATACTGGGTGTTGCACAGAGCTTTTGTGTTTCCCTTCTCTGGAATAACTCCTTCAAGTCTGAGCACACATTCAAAAGCGTGAAGGGGAGCATGAGAGAGTGCAAGAGTGCTCTTGTCTTGCAGTCTCATTCCTGGAAGATGTAATTGTGTCATAGAGGAAAACAAGTGAGAATGGGATTTCTGAACATAGAACACGAATTGTTCTACAGGCTACAGAACCGTTTTACAGGGGCATGTGGTTATTAACTTACTCTTGGGACAGGGCAAAACTCTTGAGGTGCAGACTGGAGGAGCCCTTCCAACTTCACTGTCACCATCTCAGCCTCCACTACAATTTTGTACATGGCCTACTATATTCAAGACTTTTTCCACTGCAGCAGTAATGCCTTTGTGTTTGTGGGAGGAAAATCATTGTCACAGTTTGTGAACCTGCAAGTGAATGTCTTTCTTAATAGCTCATCATGATGTTAAAGAAAACATGCTGGAAGCGCTGCCGCATGAATATTTGGTGGTGTTTAATCTAGGTGTTTCCTTGGATCTTGGTAATCCTAAATTGCCAAGTTTGGCCCGATAACTAGCTTGAGAGATCTCATTTACACAGCTGTAAAGACTAGGATCTGCAAGCCCACGTGCAGTATATGCACCTGCAGCTACCCTTTAAGCAGGGAGCCAGACCTACGCTTCAGGCAGCTGAAAGAAGAGCTTATGCCTAAATTCTGTAGTGAAGGTAGTTCTGCCATTCACAAGATCACACTATTCAACTGGTGTTTATACCTGTTCCTTGCTGAAGTCTCTAAACTCCTGATTTTCCTTGGTGAATGTTATAGACAGCAGCCTGTGTTTTCATTTAAAAGCGAGCTGCAGCATGCTTGTGCCTAGGCTGTAACTGTTCAAAGTAGAGGATCTCCTCATCGCACCATTGCACCTGCACTGTAAGTACACTCTGAGCACGGCCAGGCACTCTGAACTGGATAGAATTTGCCTAAAGCAAGCAGATAACTTAGGGGGGAAAAAAAGAATAGAAAGAGAAGAAGGAAACAAAACTGTGCTTATGTGACTGTAGCTATCATATACTGGACTTGAGGACATAAAAAAAAAAAAAGTCCTTATTAACAAATGGTTGTCATTGACCTGCTTTGCTGTCTCGGTGATTAATAATATCCCTTCCAAACTGGTACCCAGGGCAGACAAAGCACTCATTTAATATGACACAGTCACACAAAGTAATGAACCTTGGCTGAGAAAAGTCACGAGTTAAATTCAGTTAACATTTCAAAGGCAGGATTCTTGGCCTTCTGCCACTGCTACAGCTTTCTGCCATAGCAACTAGTCTCCTGATAGCAATAGTGTGATTCACTAGTAACGAGAGGTGATTGTTGAATTTGAATATTTGCATTTATAGATCTACTCCAGGCAATGCATTTGCAATCTCAGTGATTTGTGTCCCCCTTACTGTGGTCTCCCAACATCCCTTTTCATTTGGTGGAACGCTGTGCAGAGAGTTGCTGGGCTATTCATGCCTGTGATTAGATGTATAATAGATTATTGATTGCTTTGTCTTGTAAGGTACTAAATCAAGTCTTCTGTATTGAACTGTTTACAGAGTCTGTTGTTTACTTCTGTTTACTGCATTTGCAGGAGCTGGTTAAGGCTCAAAGTCTGCCATGAAAATAATGTGTCAGTAATATTCAATATAAGTAAAGAGAAATTTTTATTCAACTTCACACCTTCCTTGAACTGTAATCTGGGACAGTTAAAAATTATCTACCTCTCCTAATGCAAAATGAGAGAACAAAAAACCAAAATAAAGTGTAAAGAAAGAAACAAGAGTCACTCAGATCTGGAACAGAAAACTAGGGAGATGCAAAATGCGTCACTTGGAGTTTTAATCAAAAGATAGAGTAGCAACAATGACACAGCCATCACGGACAGACCAAAAAAAATGAGTAAATATAAGAGAACAAGTACTGAAGAAAAATTACAAAGAGACGTAATTCTGATTCTTCTTCTAGTCGTGTGTTGTGAACAACAACCATTAAATACTAGATATCCCTTTAAACTGGGATTTAAAAAGTAGGAGGCATTTTAAAAAAAACCCTAAACTTTAGGCAATAAAATCTTCCTTCCCTGCATGTGGCACAGGGGTGCACTCCTCAGCATTCAAGTGGATGCTGACACACCATCACCTGATGAATGCACAGATGAATGCAGAGATTGTTTAGAAAGGTTCTGTGGGACCTGAGCATGCCAACAGGTACTGATGGCCCCAAATTTGTTGATGGCCATTTTCCATGATGCTGAGACTTTCTCAGCTTGGATTCAGCTGCCACCCCTGAAGCCCGTCCCCACTTGCTTTACCTGAGCAAACGTAAGCCCTCGGCTTGCTCTGAGGATGCAGACAGAAACACAGACTCTAGCAGACAGCCCCATGTCAGCCTCCCTAGCCAATGGATCACCATGGGGACCACGGGGTCACCACCAGCTTTGGAGCATGGTGCAGGAACCACTGCCCAACTGACAGGTACAGCTCTCTGCGAAGCTGGTGGCTTAAAGCAGCATGCCAGTAGCACAAGATTATGTCAGCAGCCAGAGCCCTGAAACCCAGCATTTGCACAAATCAGAGCAGTGCCAAGAGGAGACACGGAGGCAAAGCCTCAGCAGCAAGAGCTGCATCAGCAGAAGACCTGATAGAAATTCTACTCGAGCTCCACCAAGTGTCTGCTCTGTCTCCTCAGCTACTGGCTAGAAAGGGTTTCACTGGTTCTGTTTTGCAGGTGGCAACGGTAAACACTAGGAGAGGTCTCACAGCCAGAGACCGGGGCAGCAATACTGGTCTCCCTTCTTAGGGACACTAAGCTGCTTTTTGCTTTTCCTTTCCACTCCTGACTACTTTCCCCACTTGCAAGATTCTTGGGGGTGGTAGCCTGCCCATGGGAGACATTTCATACACCTTTTGTGGATGCAGCTGGGACAGACCTTACTGGTTCCCAAACTACTTGGGGACATCACCAGTACTTGGTGTACTTGGCTGACCTAGGACAGCACTCTGTCACCTGATCTAGCCGTCACGAGCTGAGGTACCTGTTTAAGTGCTTAAAAAACAGGTTCCTGGCAACTCGGGAACCTGTTTTTTTTGACAGCACGCGTGCAGGGAGCGCTCCTGCGAGTGACTTGGCGGACAGCTCTGAGAGCTTAATGAACGTCTGGCAGCACACCATCAGGCAACCGCGGAGGAGCAGG